TTGTTTCTAATATTTTACTTCCCAATCTTGTGTTGTTTTTTTCTCCATCAGAATACCTCATGATTAGTCTGGGCATGGTGGCACTCTTGTAATTCTAGCACTTTGAAAGCTGAGGCAGGAGGATCACTCCACGTTTGAAGACAGTTTGGGTTACATGATGAGTTAGTTCAAGGCCAGACTGAATTACATATCAAGACCCTATATCAAACACACATGTGCACCCCCCCCAAATCCCTTGATTGGAAAAGGGAAACAACTGGGCGTGGTGATGCATGCCTGTAACCCAACCCCAGCATTCAGGAGGCTGAGGCAGGGGGATTTTTGTGAGTTCAAGACCAGTCTGGCTACAAAGTAAGCCCAAGACCAGTCTGAACAAGATGCTGTCTCAAAAGATGCTGTTTCAAAAGAAAAGGGGAACAGTCCTACTTTGTGTTGGTAAAACATCAGGAACAGCTGCTGGGGGAGAAGGTACCATGGCCCTGCAGGCTGGAACATGAAGAAACAGAAGTTACTGAGTTCCAGGTAGATTCGAGGGCGTCCCAACTGTGATGAGGACTGCATCCCGGGAAATGTGAGAAATGCAGATTTCAGGCTGCCCAGGCTGGCTCTTTAACAAGCTCCCTGGAAATGTACGCTGCTAACTTTGGGAAATGCTTGTGACAGACAAGGTTAGGTGTCCTTGCCTTCTTCAGGACTCCTGCCATAGAGACACCCTACCCTGTGCTTGGGCTTAAGCAGTCTTGGAACAGGCTCACGACCACGTAGGAAGAAATGGTCCCTGTATGAGCTCACAGTGGACCCCCAACAACCCAGCCAAGAATACAGAATGAACTCCTCCAAGTGGGGTTCCGACATGCACTCCATTATGTATGGGGATGTGTATACTGTTTACAAAACCTTAATTTCTATGAGTGGGTGACAGGCTATCCTGGGAAGAGGAAATAATCCACATAATCACCCCTTTACACTTCAGTGCTTGAATTTAATAGACCTTAGTAGACCAGCATGGCTGGCGGCCAGGGGAAATAAGGCATGCGCTATGATAAACACTTCACTCAACCCAGAGAAAGAGGCACGCTCTATGGAATTAGGTCTCTTCCTTCTCTCCACATAGCCTGTTCCTCATTAGATGATTCACATTTAAATACACTGAAAGCTGAAGAACAGTTCAGAAGCTCTTTGCTAAGTAAATGGGACTTAAGTTTTTTTTTTTTTTTGTCTTTTTTGAGACGGTGTCTCACTATTCAGTTCAGGCTGGCCTTGAGCTCACTTTGTAGCCCAGGCTGGTCTCAAACTCGAAACCATCCTCCCACCTCAGCCTCCCAAGTGCTGGGATTACAGGCATGAGCCACCACACCTGGCTTTTTTATTTTATTTATTTATTTTTTACCGGTACCAGGGATCACACTCATGACCACATACTTGCAAGGCAGGCACATATGCTGCTGAGCTAAATCCCCAGCCCTATAAAATTCTATTTGTTTCTTCTTCCTTTTTAAGTATTTTTTGGTACCAGGAATTAAACTCAAGGCCTCACACTTTCCAGGCAGGTTCTGCACCACTGAGCCACATCTCTACCCTTGTTTGTTTTTTCTTTCTTTCTTTTTTTGTTACTGGGGAATCAAACTCATGACCTCAAGCTTGTCAGGCAAGCACTTACACTGCTGAGCTAAATCCCCAACCCCTGGGACTTAAGTTTTAAGCCCAACATTGTTTAAACAAAGTAACAGGTGTAGATGGCTATATCAAGTGGTTCTCAGAGCACATTGTAGTGTCTGTCCAATGACTCTGAATCCTGTAGTTAAGACTCTCATTACCCTGCTACATTCTTGGTCTTGGTCTTTTTTAGTTCTGGAAATCAAACTCAGGACCTTACATTTGCCAGACAGGCGCTTATGTCTCTGAGCTAAATCCTCAGCACCAATGAACTTGAGTATCTTAGAAAAAGGTCAAACTGTGGTGCCTTTTGTGCCAGCACTGGTCAAGAGCAATCTGTTCTCTTCTGAGCTGAGAGCCCTCCGCCACTGAGTGCCTTCCACATGATAGATGCTGGAAGGAATCAGTCTCCAGGAATTTAGGGTATAGATCAAATGGAAAAAATAGATGCATACAAAAGTGTCAGTCAAAATAAGTGTAGAAAGCCAGGTGTGGTGGTGCATGCTTGTAATTCTGGCACTCAGGAGGCTGAGGCAGAAAGATCCTTGTGAGTTCAAGGCCCACCTAGGCTACACAGTGAATGCAAGGTCAGCCTGAACTAAAGAGAGACATGCTGTCTCCAGGTAAAAAAATAAATGAATAAGAGAAAAAGAAAAGATTACAGGTTAGATACAAAGCCAGTTAAGGTCCTCCAGGGCTGTACACCATAACCTTATCTTTCCCACTAGATGGAAATTATTTGCTTTCTAACCGGACAGGCACCTCGAAGTTGACCTTGCATCCCTCAAAGCGATCAAATAACCAGCCATCAGGTGACCAGCACTGCAACCCAGCTGGGGCCCAAAGCTGACTGGTATCTCTGATGTCAGTTTCCAAGATTCTTTGTGTTTGTGAGCAGGGCTTGGGTCCTGTTGCCTAGAGTGGTCTCAGACTTGCAATCCTCCTGGCTCAGCCTCGTGAGTAGCTGGCACCATAGGGTATGCCCCCGAGCCAGCTATGTCCAGGCTGTGGCCGCTGCACCAACATAGAGAACACGGTTAGCGCAGTATGTGCTCTGTAGAGTTTGAAGAGATTCAATTTACATGATGAACAGACCAAAGGAAAATGGCACAGAAACTGCCCCATGGATGGTAGAGAGTCATCTTAGTCAAGCCAACTTCTGTGATCTGAAACCCCACTGAGAACCCACCTAAATACAAATTTAAAGGCACTTAAACCCCATTTTGGACCTAATCCTAATAGTTCCTCTCATCTGGATGCAGCCACAGAGCCATAGGGCGGCCACTGAAGGCAACAGCATCTCTAAGTCCCAGGGCCGTGGAGTCACAGCGCTGAAGCCTCAGACCCCTCCACGAGGATCAGTGTCCTGTAGGTTATTTGTACAGAAACATTTTCAAAAATGCTAAACTGTTTTATGGTAAACCGTGGTTAAGCACATGAATATATAATTTAGGAATATTTCTATAAAAAAATCTCAAAATTTAAAAGCCTGGTATTTAAGGAACTAAGAAACTCATTCATATATGGAATACAGTATGTATAAGAAACATCCTTGGGCACCAGCCCTGAACTCACTGTAAGCCCACTGGCCTCAAGCTCATGGCAATCCCCTGCCTCAGCCTCCCAAGTGCTGGGATTACAGGTGTTGCCACCATGCCTGGCACAGCTGCTGCTTTCAAAAAGCTTCCCATAGTGGAGGTATCTTTGAATATAAGGAACACAAGACAGTTTGCCTGAAGCAGAGACTGGAGTCAGGCTGGGGTTAGAGGAGGATGGGAGATGGGAACAAAAGCGAGGGCCTCCAGGAATTTAATATGTGTTTCACCAGGAAGTTGTCTAAAAGGAATGACTAAATAAACAGAGGGTTGCTCTGATGGGTTTTCCCAAAATGACTCCAATTATAGAAAAATGTGTGTGATAGCACAGACTAAGTGTTAGATTGAAATAAAATTTTTAATTTTCATTTTTTTGGTCTTTTGAGACAGAACCTCACTGTGGAGTTCAAACTGGCCTTGAGCCAGGAATGGTGTCGTACACTTGTAACCCCAGCACTCGGAGGCCAAGGCAGGAGGATCTGTGAGTTCAAGGACAGCCTGAACTACAGAGCAAGACGCTGTCTCAAAAAACCAAACAATAAATAAAATGTTTTTTAAAAAAATGAAAAAAATGTGGTGAACAATTCACAAATGAAACAGAAATGACCAATGAACATTCCAACCTGTATTTTGTCTTGCAAATAACTGAACAAACACAGAGTAAAAAGGGCTTTTTGAGGGGGATACTGGGAACCAAACTCAAGACCTCACATCTGTGGGGCAGGTGCTGTGAGATAGATACTTTCACAGAACAGCAGATGCAGGTTTTGAGAGGACAGTGCTCTCATACGCAGTGCCAGAGTACAGACTAGCACAACTTCTCTTTTAGAAAGGGAGTTTTACTAAGAATGGGTCTTATGAAAACACTAGGAGTGCAAAGATTGTATCTATGTGAGGATCATCAAAGCACTTTACAATTTTCTTTTTTTGGTCTTTTTCGTTTTTATTGGTACCAGGGATCGAACTCACGACTGCCTGCTTGCAAGGCAGGCGCTTATGCTGCTGAGCTAAATCTCCAGCCCGTACAATTTTCTAAAAAGAGAAGGAAATGCTCAGCAATTGGGGTTTGGTTTGACAAACTATAGACCCAAGGAATGTTATGTAGCATTGAAAACTACAAGTAGATAAAAATGGCATAAACAGCATAAAAATTATAAAATATTAAGTGAGAAAAGTGAATATTGTACAAATCTGTCAGTGTGATCCCAGCTTCGTCTTGGGTGATTCGGGGGTTGAACCCAGCGCCTCTGAACAGAAAACCATCTCCTGAATTGTGCAGACTGGGCTCAGTCCTCCTGCCTCAGCCTCCCACAGTGCTGGGATTGCAGGCATGTGCTAGTTTTGCTTATAAAAATGAAAGACAATCTGTTTTCCTCTTTTGTAGAGTTTTGCTTTAGTTCTCACCTCTGTAGATTGACAATGATATAACTGTCAGGCCGTACAAAGCTCCCTGAGCATTAGTTACCCAAATGTGCAAACTCTTTTTTACAGGATGACTAACACCCTGGTGTAACGTCAGATTTGGAATCATGGAATAAGCCAGTGAAACAATGGTTTCACACCATTGCAATTTTTAAGAAAACCTGAGCTGGGTATCATGAGGCACACCTGCAATCCCCACACTGAGAGGCTGAGGCAGAAGGATCGCCATAGGTTCAAGGCCAGCCAGCGCTACACAGCAAGACTGTCTCAAAACTAAAAAGGGACCCAAAAGAGAAAATCTGAAAGGATACACATATTGCAATAAAGTTCCTAGGATTTAAAATTGACTTTATTCTGTACAGTGTCTTCAATAAACATTTTTTTCCAGTATCACAATGCTTATTGATACAAGTACATAAAATCAGGGCATAAACATGACTTGATAAATTAAGTAGACTTAATTTCAATACTGTAATAAGAGGGACCAATTCAAATTCTCACCAATTGTTTCACACTCACCAAAATCAGGTAAGGGCATTAATGGTCAGGACTTTGCGCTGGCCAGGCAGGCAGGGTCTTGTGTCACTGAGTTATATTCCTAGCCGACAGGTATTATTTTCAAACTGCAATTTTTTTTGTATTTTTGAGTCAGGGTCTCGATATGCAGTTTAAGCTGGCTTTGAGCTCATTTTGTAGCCCAGGCTGGTCTTGAACTTGCTAAGATTCTCCTGCCTCAGCCTCCTGAGTGCTGGGATTACAGACGTGTGCCACCATGCCCAGATCAAATTGGATTCTAAAGGGCACAATTACAAATTGGAAAAATCGTCCTCCTTTACGCGGCAGTAACTGCTCTCAGGACTGAATTGGACATAAGTGTGTCTGGACGAAGGTTTTTACCTGTGGTTTTTGGGAGGTTTGCCCAGCCTCCTGTGTGCACCTGGCCGTGAGCTGCGGGGGAAGGGCCAGGGGCGGAGTGGACACGATACCTGTGGCCCTTCCCTGCCCGAATTGACCATTCCAAGCTGGCCCGGAGGGAGGTGGGGGCATTCCATGGGAGTCCCTGGCGAAGCACCCTCTGGTCTCCGAGGCTTCATAGCTCTGGGCCCTGGTAGAGGAACAGGGTCCTCTTCCTCCATGGCCCTCATCCCCTTGCGCCCTCTTAGGAGATCAAGACCTCAGAACAGGGTCTGTCATTTCTTTCTCAGAGAAATGAGGCTAGAATCTTCCTGACAGTCCTGGGCACCGCCTATGTTCCCGTGCACCAAGCACTTGGTGGGCAGGCTTGGCCTCCTCAGCCTTCATCAGCAGGGGGCCCAGCCCTTCCCTGTTTTGTCCTCTGGCCACAGCCTTCAGCTACTCATGGGCATGGATCATCAGGAGATACCTTCTGTACAAACGGAGATGTAACTGGGCATGGTGGTGCATGCCTGTGATCTCATCTATTCAGAAGACTGAGTCAGGAGGATCTCAAATTGAAACCCAGTTTGGGCAATTTGTGACATAATGAAACAAAAGAAAAACAAAACAAAATAAAACACCAACCAAACAAAACATCTTCCTTTTTCATTTGCCCTCCACCCACCACCTGCAACTACCCTTCAACTTTTTGTCTGACTTTGGTTGATGGAAGTACATTCATCAACCTTTGCCTTTTCACTACAAAAACATAGGTATCAAAATCCTATGACATAGCCTGGCGTGGTGGCACCTACCTATAATCCCAGCACTTGGGAGATTAAAGCAGGAGGACTACCACAAGTTCAAGGCCAGTGTGGGCTACACAGCAAGACCCTATCTCAAAAACAAACTACTTATGATGAATGAACTTAATAAAAAAAAAAAAACTACTCTATGATACATAATTTTGCTAGCCATATTTGTATGTATGTATGTCATGTATATATTCAGTGGTATTGTGGACTAACCCCAGGATCACTGAGTTAACTCCCAGCCCTTATGTTTTTTTTAAAAATTGTATTTTGAGGGCTGGGGATTTAGCTCAGCGGCATAAGCACCTGCCTTGTAAGCAGGCAGTCATGAGTTCGATCCCTGGTACTGATAAAAAGGAAAAAGACAAAAAAAAAAAAAAAAATTGTATTTTGATGTAGGATTTTGCTAAATCCCCAGGTTGTCTAGGTTGGACCTGACCTTGCCATCTTCCTGCCTGGGAAGGGATTATAACCACGCTGGACTGGGACTGTGCCACTTCCCTGGCTGAATGTGTTATCTTAAAATGGTAATTCCTCAGAAATTAATTATTCTACCTGTCTACACTTCTGAGTAGAAATGGGGATACAGCTCAGCAGCACAGCACCTGCCTGGGAAGCATGAAGTCTTGAGTTCAATTCCTAGTACAAAAAAAAAATCCCCCAAAACCTTGAGGTTAAAATTTGCACAAGCCCAAAGGCACAGGAGTATATAATTTTCCAAATTTCTTTCAGACAGAGTTGAAAAGAGCCCCAGTGACCTTGATAATCTGTTTTGTACATAAGCAACTGCATGACTTCGCAGGGCCACAGATCCAGTTACCCAGTCAGTGCAGGGGAAGAACTGAGCTCTCCGGATACCCAACGGCTCCTGCCAGGCCCGGAGGCTGCGACCCACAGAGTTCACACATGCATTCAGGTTTCAGGGTTCTGTTCACAACAACCTTATGCATGAATACATTTATAGCCGGAAATGTAACCTTTTAGGGTACCAGAATTACACTCAGCTTATGCCACAGTGCTGCAGCCCAGCCCCATGCTCCGTAATCTACCTCCAGCATAAGCTCAGTGTTTCTCTGACAGATCTAAGTGGATAAGCCTGCCTTGATTATACAATTGTTTTCAGGAAGATTATGTGTATTCCCCACAAATAATTACTGCACTCATCTGTATCTGAAGCAGGAGTGGCTTACATGTCATCTAGTCGGAAAATACACGCGAACAGACGAGCACAGAGAACCGCTCCCCACATGGTCTTCAGGGTACTCTGAATCATATTTGGAATGGCAGCAGCATGAATTATGTGACTATCCACAAATATGTCTTTATCTTTCAAAGGGACCCTTTAAGAAACTTCAAAATAAATGAATGGAATCCAATAATTTAAAACTTAAGAGCTGTTATTTCTACAAGATTTTGGATTAGATGTTCATTTGTTCCTTGGAAGAAAAATCACATCTTCATCTCTTATATTTTATTTATATTAGCGAGCACTTCAATAATAATTCACATCGCTATCCATTAAATGTAAAAATGTTAATGCAATATTAAAAATGAAACTTAAATGAAAGCAAGGGAATATCACATTAAGGTTTCCATGGCAACCTCCCACTATACTTTTCAGCTTCTGAATTGTAACATGGTCATTTGTGACAGGCTCACATAAAATACAATTTTGCAAAAATTTAAAGACGTAGAGGTTAATGTGTGTCAATTCGAGACTTAGATGTGCTGTAATACTTTAGGCTAAGAATATGAAAAATATTAATTTAGACATATCTACACAAATCTGAACTGTAAACTTCCTGAATAATCCCTTGGCATCCTCATGAATCACTACTCTATAGTTCCCACCTCTGTTGAACTCTGAGTCTGTTACTGAAATACTAATATGGGCATGGTCATGTGACTTACCTTAGGGAGAATTTGAAATTACGAAGTATAAATTTTGCTACATCCAGTGAAAATGTAAATTTCTAGGTCACATGAGTTTCAAGCCCAGGAACTGAGTTCTGCAACATGCAATCAATGCCCTACTTTATTACTTGGCCACTTTTAAGACGGGGTCTCGCTATTGAGCTCAGGCTGCCCTCAAACTTGTGGCAATCTTCCTGCCTCAGCCTCCTGGGATTACAGGTGTATGCCACCCCTCAGCTTTCTTGATTGATTTTAATTGCTTGATCTCCCAGACTAAAAGTAAATTACCTACCACAGGGACTTTCTCCATTTCTTTATCAAGGTCTACACTTTTTTTTTTCGTTTTCATCGGTACCAGGGATTGAACTCACGACTGCCTGCTTACAAGGCAGGCACTTATGCCGCTGAGCTAAATCCCCAGCCCCATGATCTTAATTTTGTACAGCATTTATTTTATCAATGTCTGAACTATCTTTCATATTGTATTTTTTACTAGGTTCTCACAATGACACAGAAAAATTTGCAGGTAAGAGTATATTAAGTCCCCATCTTTTGGCAGGTAAACAAGAAATAAATCAGATAAATATTCTACACTTGTAATCACTCACTCCTCTTATCCTTCTGTAGAACATCACTGTGTCTGCTTCCTATGTACTTTGTAATGTGCCATTTATTTCTCTTTAAGTTTCAGTTTTTTTACAAGTATTAAAATTTCTATAGTGTTCACAAAGTCCCATTAGTATAACTTTTAGTTTAAAAGAATTTTTTATTAACCAGTATACTTAATTCCTTAGCAGGCCTTTTTAAGATAACTAGGTCTGACACATTAATGTACAACTGAGAATTTAATACAAAAGTTCATTATTTTTTAATCATGCTCCTGAAGAGTACAACAGTCATAAATGTGTCATAGTTCATTAAATTAACACTTCATTTATACAGAGGAGAAATGGAAAATCCTATCCTATTCTAGACCAGAGTTCTGCAGGGTCCCTGCGTTTCCCACACACCAGTCACACACACCTCACAGGCTGCAGACCTGAGAGGCAGTCGGTGCCTGCATCCTGCATCTTCCGTCCTCTGTGAGCTACCAGCAGGCGCTCACCTAAGCACAGAAGCAGGGTGACTGACCATTCTCTGACCAGAGGAGAAAACTAGTGAATTTCTCCAGTTTAACAAGTATTTATAGAGCACTTATGTGTAACACATACTGTATATAATAACATGCAAAAATTAAAATGCTGAAAAGGTGCTGGAGACACGTATGTTTGAAATCACATTAGTGTAAAAATGTTATTTGGTGTGTGTGGGTGTGAGCAACAGTGGTGGGATCCATGAGCCTGAGACCCATGCTGGCTGCATTTCAGTTCCAGAATGTTCCTGCCGGGCAGGTGCTGGGCAGGGCTGGGTGCAAGGGCTTTCTGTTGTCTGCCAACAGCAGCCCTTCTGGACTGGGCCTCTGGAGGATACAATGAGGCCCTCAGGAGAGAGGGGTCAGAGAGCAGAGGAGGAGGGTGAGGGGCTCTCAGGGTTGCTTCCGCTGCCTCAGGAAGCCCCAGCAGGCATCCTGAGCATGAGAATCGCCTGGCCTCCAGCCCAGTAGACTTGGCTGTGGAGAGTGGGGTGCATGCAGCCTGTAGGGCACACCTGCAGTGCTGGCATGTGACCTCACTGTCTGCAAGGCTGGTTTCTTTCCAGGGTTCTAACTCTAAAAGGACCTCATCTGGTAAGCGCATTTACAGTTAGAAGGTGCGGGGAAGTGAACAAACCCACAGGAATACAACTATGAATCCCTCCCACGTTCCTGCAGAGTAACTGGGACACACACAGGCTTAGGAGACCGCCAGGGCCACTCTCAGTGCCACATACTGACCTAATCATACCGTCCTTGGATAAAGGACTTCTGAAATGTTGCTCCTCTAACCAGATGAACTCGCAGTCCTGAAGCATAGCCCTCTATGCTGGCCTGTAAGGGACCGAAGTTTGAAGTCTTTTCCATCCCTCTTGGAAACGGGTGAGTCCATTTTCAGGCATGCCTGGCTATTCCAAGCAGGTAAGAGTATTAACACACAATGCTAGCAGAGTTCCACACTGCTCCATTTATGAGGTGGTGAACACTTCAAAATCAGCGTCCGAGTTCCACAGATGGACATTTCATTTTCCTAAAGCTTGAAAAATTACACAGAAACCCACCCATAATGCAAGTCCATCTTGGACCTCAGTGCTGCTCAGGTAAAATGCACCAAGTGCCGGGTGGGGCTGCATAAACCCATGGTCCCTGCCACATGGGGGCTGAGGCAGGAGAATCAGCTCCAAGGCCAGGCCTGGACAGCGCTGTCAATACCCTGGACAGCGAGACACCATATCAACAACTGCTCTTGCATCTGCAGTTTTGGATGTAGAAGGCAGACAAGCGAGCAGCTCCTGTGTTCACCCTGCACAGAGAAAGGCCGGCTTTACGGGCACTTCACAGTCACAGCTTTCTGAGGGAGCCACGTAAGAAGCTCTGGTGGCAGTGCGTTAATTCCAGCACTCAGGAGGCAGAGTTCAAGGCCAGTCTGGGCGACATAGCACATCCTTTCTCTGCACAAAGAAACACACAACAAAACAGAGACTAGAGATGTTTCTGCTTCTCAAAAATTCCAAACTGTGATGAAAAGCTATAAAGATCCTTTTATTTACTCTGAAAATATATATTATTTAATCAAGCTTAGCATAAAGTTTAATCATTAATATTACTTTGATTGTCAGTAGCCTAGACACAGTCTGAAGTTTTACTCTGTTAATTTAAGAAATCCAGTCTAGCCAGGCAGGGAGGTACACGCCTTTAACCCCAGCACTCTGGAGGCTGAGGCAAATTCACTGAGTCCAAGGGGAGCCTGGGATACACAGGGAGACCTTGTCAAACAAAAGAAGTCCATTCTGTGTAGAGATACTGCTATGTGACTCCCTCCCAAATTTGAAACTTTAGACTCACACCAATGAGCCTGTAAGAAGCCTTCTAAGACTGGTGCTATGGCTTGTGAGGCTGTCAACGAAACTCCACCCCGCTCTCTCCAATAACAAACGAATGCTTTTTTGAAGTGTTACTTTTTGGATGGTGTGACACTAACAGGAACTGTCTGCAGCTTTGAGAGTCCTCTTGTTTGGAGAAAAACACTCTCTGCTTCACCACTTGTTGCCAGGCCTTGCAGAGATAGGGTCTGTAATCTACGTCCTGCTTGCTGGGACGCTGAGTGGTGGCAGAGGGCCCTTCCGGCGAAGTCCAAGCCTTTTGCATTATACTCTGCGTGGTTGTGAACAGAACCAAGCGGTACTCCCTGGCCAACCTCTCCAGGACCTGGGCACAGCGCCTCTGAACAGCCTCCTGGGAGGACACGCTCTCCCCTCCGTTGACACGGTCTGTCCAGTAGAAGGCTGACAGGCTATCCAGGATCAGGATACACAGAGCGGGGTGGCTGCACAGCATGGCTTCTAGCGCATGAAGCGTGAGCAGCAGCTGGGTGCTACTGCTGCAGGAGACCAAAAACAACCTTCCGAGGCAGTGTTTTATTCTTTCTTCTGAGCTCTGGGACAATCTGTGCTCAAGAATTGTCACAAGCCGAAGCATGTCGAAGTGGTAATCTGTGTCAATAAATAAGACTTCCAGGTCCAGTCCACCTTCTGATTTTGGAAGTATACATCGTGCTGTTAAGTGATAAAGCATTTCTGTTTTTCCTGTTCCCTCTGCACCGTGAAATTCAAGAATATCACCTGCGTAAAATTTTAAAATGTCAGTCAAAGTGCAACAGCACAACAGTAGGCTACAAAGAGCAAGTTTGCAAAAGGTTTAGAAAAGACACATCCTGGAGCCAAGTGTGGGGACACATGGTACTCCAGCACCTGGGGATCTAAGGCAGGAGGACTGCCAGGAGTTTGAGGCCAGCCTGCGCTACACAGTGGGCCCAGGCCATCCTGAACTACACAGCCAGAAAAAGACAGACAGACAGACATATGCTAGAATGTGAGTGAAAATCTATAGCCATTTGTCAAGCTTGATTTGTACAGGGATGAACAAAATATATGGTAATATTTAAATTTTAAAAAGTGTATTACAGTAAAAGACACCTTGCCTTTAATCCCGCTCAAAATCCTCCCCTCACTGCGAACACAGCTGTCCTGTCACTCCTGCCACCCTCTGAAGCAGTTCTGCAGCCGTCTCTCCTGACCGTACTTATTTTTTTTGGTACTGGGGATTGAACGCATCCTGAGTGTACTTGTAAGATATGCTCAGTGCTGGTAGATGCAGTGCCATGCGCCATCCCATGAAAGGACAGGCTGGGAACAATGTGACACTGTGTCCCATCCTTACCTGCCAGACCTGACACGGTGGCTCTTCCTCAAAGTCAAAATGACCACAAATGGTAAATGTTTTGAATCTACTGAGGACAATGCAAGATACTCATGAAAGATGACTTCCAGAACTGCACGGATAAAGGCAGGAATGATGGATTAGTGCCCTCTAAAGTGAGGGCAGGATTCTGCAGGGGAGCCATGGCAATGTGTCTTTCCCTGTAGTAAACTTTAAACATTTTAAGATATTCGCTGCATTTTTGACATGCCATGCATAAGGAAGCACAAATAAGGAAATTATTGTTTCACCTCTGAGAAAGGGCTCCAACTTTCAGTATTTTGTTTGTTTGTTTGTTTGTTTATGGTGCCAGAGATCAAACCCGAGGTTGGCATACCAGGCAAATGCTCTACTGCTTGAGTCCAGCCCAGTTCAGGAATCCACTATTCTTTTTTATTTTATTTTTTTGTCTTTTTCTTTTTTATCGGTACTGGGGATCGAACTCACGACTGCCTACTTGCAAGGCAGGCATTTATGCCGCTGAGCCCCAAGAATCCACTATTCTTGAGCACCAAGACGAGTGTTCAAAATAAGGGGGAAGCTCCCGGGGCTGTTCCCTTACAGTTAGTCGTGAGGCCTTTCAAGGGCCTGCTGCCCACAGTACCCACATCACTCCCAAGGTCTGACCACACCTCAGCCACGCTCTCCTCCTTCCTAAAGCACAAGGCCTCAGTTGGCAGGGAAGGTAACAACTCCGCCACACCAATGACTTTCCTTAGTTTTCCTTGCAAAGTGGGGTCACCAGGTAACTGGATTTCTGAGTCTGCATCCTACTCTGGCTTTTCTGCCTTTCTGCTCCCTGGCCCTGCTGAGGGCAGAGAGGCAGGAGGGCAGGTGATGACTGTTACTCCCGAGGCGAGCTGCCAGGGCTCCCGAGGACCAGCCACTCAAGTGGGCTCCCATTACCACTGGAGTGCATGACCCTGGCCTGGTTTCTTACACTGTCAAGACTACACACAACAGCTCTCAACTCAGCAGCTCCATGTTATAGATGCCGAAGGCCAGTGGCAAGCCAGAAGCACAGCTCACATGGAAAGGCCTTCTGCGCATGTACACGGCCTTGTGTGCTCACTCTCTGCTGCTCACATGTCTCTTATAACAGTTTCTTTTTTTTTTTTGTCTTTTTCCTTTTTATCGGTACTGGGGATCGAACTCAGAACTTGTCAACTGCCTGCTTCCAAGGCAGGCACTTATGCGGCTGAGCTTAATCTCCAGCCCCTTTATAAAGTTTCTAGCTGCACTGTAAACTAGTTTCTGAGCTTTACGAATCAAAGTCAATTACTGTCAATTTTATTTATTATTACTGTATTATGTGTTTTTTTGAGACAGGGTCTCATTACGTAGTTCAGACCTGCATTTGCTGCAATCCTCCTGCCTGCCTCAGTCTCCTGAGAACTGGGATCATAAGTATGCGTCACCATGCTCAGCTGTGAACTTTAAAAAATTCCAAATCTCTTTTTACATGGGCTCTAATAACTCTCATCGAGGGAGGCACATTAAATAAAACAAGCAACACCTTAAGTAATTAGCCTGTTTCCAGAACTTGTTGAAATACATGCCCAAGGCTTACATTACAATTCTTACTAATTTGATCAGTATTAATTTATGTTTGAACTGATTGGAAACATCATGTCTTAAATGCAGATTCTCAGGTCTCAATTAATTAATCTAAGAATTTAGTTACTTTACTTCCTATATAGTGAGTGTAAGGTCAGCCTGAACTACATAATGAGATCCTGTCACCAAAAACAACAGTAACAAAACAGACAGTATATAAAACATCAGCTAATTTCCACAATATTATATACAACTTAAAATTCTAAATTTATATTAAAAAGAATTTTAAAAAATGATTCCAGCTTCAAACCGGGTGTGGTGGCTCACGCCTATAATCCCAGCAGTTGGGAGGCTGAGGTGGGAGGATTGTTGCGAGTTTGAGACCAGCCTGGGCTACAAAGTGAGCTCAGGGCCAGCCTGAACTGCATAGCAAGACCCCTCTCAAAAAGACAAAAAAAAAAAAAAAAAAAAAAAGATTCCAATCTCAAGGAGTAAAATTCTACATAGTAATAGTTGCTTCTGAGTACTCTCCTTAGAAACATGACCAGGTCCAGTCCCAACACCTGTGGGAAGCAAAGGCAGGAAGGTAAGTGCAGCCCAGGAGTTTGAGACCAGTCTGGGCCAACGGCGAGCCCGTCTCCTAAAAAGGCCTTGACAGTGACCACAACGACATAAAGCCCGGCATTCAAGTGGCCTCTCCTACTCACACCAGGTGCCCGGAGGAGCTCCCCATGCAGCCCTACCCTGCCCTGCCCTGTGATCTGTGCACCAGGCAAGGAAACCTGAACTCAGCACCCATATGCACAGCAGGAAGACACCAGGGACACACAGAAGTGGGAAGGGCATCTCAGCTGAACATTATATGTGCTAACTTTGATAAGCATTCCATTTTGGTTATTTATTAGTGATGTTTTTTGAAGTGTCAAATCTTTTTTTTTTTTTTTTCATTTTTATCGGTACCGGGGATCGAACTCATGACTGCCTGCTTGCAAGGCAGGTACTTATGCCGCTGAGCTAAATCCCCAGCCCGAAGTGTCAAATCTTGTGACTATTAAAATACTAGTAAATTTAAAGTGGAAAAAAAAAAAAAAGAAGTGGGAAGGGGAAGCCAAAAGCAACCTGTGTACATCTTTTGTGCCTGTCTCCAGAGAAGTGGCCATAAGGGCTTAGCAGCAACAACAGCTTATCTTCAAATTTAATGTGATCCTGACACTAGGCAGAAAAGGCAAACTCTGTGATCCCCTCATCACATCAGGCTGTGTTTCCTTGCCAGTTATTTCCTGCTTCTATCTCTTATCAGCTTCTTTCCAGATACATTTTTAGTATTCCATTCCCAGCAGTAACACAGGATCTTCTCAGAGTGATTCATGAAATTACTTTCTTCTTAGACTCTCTTGAAAGACATCTAAAGAATGCAAATGTTAGCCAGGAGTGGTGGCTCACGCCTGTAATCCCAGCAGTCCGGAGGCTGAGGCAGGAGGATTGTTGTGAGTTTGAGACCGGCCTGGGCTACAAAGTGAGCTTAAGGCTAGCCTGAACTGTATAGAAACCTTGTCTCAAAAAAAAAAAAAAAAAAACCAAAACAACAACAACAAGAAGAATGTGACCATAAGTTCCTGGGGAGGCTAAAGGCCTAGTCAACTGCGGGAACAGGGCCTTTGGGAAGATGTCTGGGTGGAAAGGTCCGGGGAGCATGTGTAGCCTCACCCTGCAGGACAGACCAAGGCTTTGCCCAAGGGACAGAGAAGGAGGCACAGGATGGACAGCAGCGGGCTGCCCAGCGCAGGGCTGCCTCCTTCCGGAGGTAAGCGCCTCAGTCCTGAGAGGTGAGTGCCAGAGCTGGCCGGTGAGGAGGTGTGTGGCTGACACACAGCGAATGCCTGAGTTTCCAGTAACTGAGTTAGGAAGGCGACACATGCTATTAGCCCTTGCAGCCCTTCCCCCTCAAGACGCACTTCCTAGGCAGGTGAGCGCCTGGCCATGCTGTGCGGGCAGCCGGCGGCGTCCGGAAGCTCAGCACTTATTACACGGTCACCCTGACCCTGGAGAGAGCAAGCCCGTGCTGCCAGCCAGTGGGTGAGGCAGGCAAAGACCGACCTTCCCCGAGCCTGCTGGTGGGGACTCTGGGTGGCAGCAGTCCCCGTGTTTCTGATCACGCTTGTAAACATGAAGAGGACTTAGGGACTATTTTGGAAAGTGGCAGGCTGATGGGCAAAGGTCCCTGTGCCTGACGCAAGGAGTAGTATTCCAAGAGGATTAATAGCAAGGTGTCTTTAATAAGTGTAAACATTCACCATGTATTTTGTTCAAATCCCACAACCTGTATCAGACACATGAAATAAGTCTTTTAAATTGGCAAATTCACTTAAATATCCTGGAAAGAATTTCTTTTCTGGGCCGACATGGTGAGCACTAGAGGATAGCAAATGGAGTAAGCCAGGCACAGAGATAAACACGGTGAGCGTTCACTGGTGTGTGGAAGTTTAAACATGGCCTTACAACATAGAGTGGCGCCCACTGGTCAGGAGGATCACAAGTTCAGGTATTGCCTGGCCAACCTGGCAAGACCTGTCTCCAAACAGTCAACGGCCAGCTAGCTAAGGGAAGAGCCAGTTAGTTAGCTGAGGGGAGGGACACGGTCTGAAAGCCCAGCAGTAGGATTTAAGACTCAAGACAGTCATGGGCCAGCAGAGCACCCAACAGGGTGTAAACAGAAGCCTGCTGACCTAAAACTCAGACCAAAGGGCCCAATTGGATTCTGGGTACACCACAGGAGAGTCAGCAGGAGACTGATAAAAGGGAACTG